TTAAGAATGTCCAGCCTTAGCTTGGCTTATTTCTAGCCAGCTTTTCTTAAATTATCCAAGCTACCCTTTGCCTCTGCGATTTTCCCTTTCCTTACTCTGCATGTCTTACTTTCACTCTTACTTTGCGTCTGGCTGGCCCCCAGTGTCCTCCCTTTCTTGTTCTCTTGTTTCTCAGTCTTTTTTTCTCTTTTTCTCCTTCTATTTATTCTCTCTGTCTGCTAGCCCTGCCTTTCCTTTCTCCTGCCTAGCTATTGGCCATTCAGCTCTTCATTAGACCAATCAGGTGTTTTAGACAGGCAAAGTAACACAGCTTCACAGAGTTTAGCAAATGCAACATAGAAGAATGCAGCACATCTTTGCATCATTAAATAAATGTTCCAAGGCATAAACAAGTGTAACACATCTTCAACTATTATTCCACAACAGGTGTGATCTCTAAGAAGTGAGATTTAGTGGGATATAGTTAGGTCATTGGGGAACCCTGACCTAGGAAGGGACTAGTGTGGTTCTCTGGTAACTCTGGACCTCAAGATGAATTCATAGAAAAAAAAATAAACAAACAATCACCCATCATTTTACTGGCCTTTTGTCTCTCCGTGAGATCTCTCCCTTTTGAATATGTTCCCACCACAATGCTATCTGCATGGTATACTGCCAAGGACCCCTCATCACAGGTGGAAACTGTGAAACTGGCCAATGTTGGACTTCTAGCTTCCAAAACTGTGAGCAGAATGCCTATCTTTTACTTTTAAGGTACGCAGAGCCAGGTAGTCTGTTACAGCCACAGAAAATGAGCCAATGCTGGAACTTGCGCAAGCACTCTGCTGCCAAGCGACATCTCAAACTAGTTTTCATCGTCATAGCTCTTTATCAAGTCTTGACATCTTCTCTTCTTTAAAATGGTTTTCATTAATGGAGGTCATTCTGCGGCTTACGTCACTGGCATGGGTTAAACTGTGTCATACTCTCAGATTTGCCCAAGTACCTACAGATGTGACTACTTGAAAATAGGGTCTTTTGGAGACAAGATGAAGTTAGGGTAAGTCATTCATCCTAAGTTAGGGGAAGCCTAATCCATGTAAGGTAACAGCTGCTACCCTTAAAAGAAAAGAGACCAAAGCAGACATACACGGGATATCATGTGACAACCAGAAGATCAGGGAGGGTGACACATCAACAAGAATGAGACACCACGGATGGCCTGCACAAGCATGGAGCAGACCCTCCCTGCGGCCCCCGAGGAAGCCAGCCCAGCCAGCATGTGATCCCAGGGTTCCCATCTTCAGACCTCTGGGAGAGTACATTCCTGTGGTTCTAAGTCATCGCTCTATGGACAGCTTAGCTGTAGACAGATGGACAGATGCTGAAACATGACTCAAGCTAGCCTAAGGAGGAAGGAAAGTCTGCCTCTTAGGTTTACAGCACCAGCATCGAGGAGGCTTGGATGGTATTTATTTGATGCAGGAAGCATTAAGAGTAAAGTTCGCCTGTATGGATCAGAGCCCTTCCCCCTCCACGCCCCCCATACACACAAGACAGCCATTTCAGTTTACCTGTTTATTGTTGGACTGAACCAAGAACTTCACACACTTGTCCACTGAGCTACATTTCCAGCCCCTGATGTTTTATTTTACATTTGTCTCCTCCTGTAGATGTTGGTTACCCAGGGTTGGTTGATGCAGCCACTTCATGACACCCGGGACACTTTTTTAAATGTTTCTGCTGCTGTTCTGGGAAAGTGACCTCTACCGCATGGCTAAAACCCAGCTTCATGATCGCCCGTTATCCCAGAGGAGAAAGAAATGAGGGAGACTATGGAGGAGGCCACATGGGCTGGTTCTGGCTGCTGCCTAAAACGTAGTCACATGGTCAGTCTTAACTCAAGCCACTGGGAACATACTATTTCAGGAATGCATGAGTCCACCTATTTATTTACAGAAACAACTAGAAGTGTCTTCCATGGAGTGTCTGGGGAGAAATGTCAAGGGCAGAAGTGCAACGGTAACTGAGTAGAAGACAGGGAGAGTGAGCAAGTGAAAGTGAGAAGAATCAATCCAGGGGAGACAGGTAAGGAGAGCTGGGGTTCAGCCACGATAATACAATCCTCTAAGTTTCAGAAAGACGAAGCTCCTGCGTGACGTCCTGGACAAGTGTCAAGAAAAGAGTCATGAGCCGTGTGCAGAGAGAGGGCTGCTGTGGTCTGGACGGGGCAGACCTCGGGTGAAGTCGGAACACTGGAATCTAACTGCAAATTTGATTCTAACATCGGTGCCTTTCTGAGCCGGCTGTCACCAGAACAGAGTCCTTTCAGATGGCATTAGGGTCCATCAAGGCTTGAGGTGGGGGCAATGTACTCCCTTTCCTTCCTTTTGTCGTGTAGGGACATAGCAAGGCCTCAGGAGATAGCGCTGGGGACTTGGTCTTTGGCGTCCTAGACTTCAAAATAGTGAGAAAGACGTATTTGTGGTTTACAAATGACACAGATATTTTTGTTATACGACAGCAAAGTAGACAAGGGAGAGACTAGTTAAGGTAACGAACAGGTCTTTACCGCTTAAGAAGTCCGGATTCTTCCCATTGCAAACCAAAGGCGACATCAAGTCTTTTCCTTGAGGCCGTTGTGTCCAGTGACTGACTGACCTTCAGAAACTTGGAAGTTAGGTAACTCTCATTGTGAAGGATACAGCTCCCCACCCCTCCTGAGGGACAAGTTCATACCTGACTGAGGTCATTCACTATCTCTGTTACCGCTGTCAGGTGGCTGGGGGCCATAAAAGGCCCTAGGATAGGATACGGAGCCCAGCCAGAAGGCTCTGGGGATTAAGGGTTTAAACCTTTACCTGGTTCTAGGGGAGAAATCAAGATGCACACATGGGCAGAACCCCTGTAAGCACTGAGATGTATACAGGGATGGACTGGGAGCAAAGCAATTGTCCACCCGCTGGATGATGCTCCAGGCACCAAATGAACTTGCGGATTTTTTGGATGCGGTTCCCAGATTGGCTGCTGCTCAGGTCATGAGCAGTGGGTGCCATGGACAAATCAAAAAGACTTTTGGGGAAAGAAAAAGGGGTGTGGGCTGTGTGGGAAGAGCTGGTGGAGGAAGTACCTAGCCTGTGGCTTCAGCCTGGGTTATCTGCTCTGGAGTTTGGTGCCTCCTTTAGCTACTTAACTCTCCTGCCAAGGGAGGCAGGGTGTGGTTAACCTCAAAGTGGCTTGAAAAGGAGACTGGCCTGCCTTCTATTAATCCATTGATGGGCAGGTAAGCTACTTAGCTGTATGTACCTCTGTTTTCTCACTGCAAACCTGTGGCTGTGATTATACCACACAGGGTGACTGGGCATGAGACCTAGTGTATGCCATATCCTGACACCTAGGAGGGCTGGAGTCACCAGGGGAAGACATTCTGTGATGAAGACACCTAATCACTTCAAAGTGTCTGGTGTAACCGAGGGATTGAAAATTTTAACTTTATGGGCCGGGCTTTGGTGGTGCATGCCTTTAATCCCAGCACTATGGAGGCAGAGGCAGGTGTTTCTCTGTGAATTTGAGGCCAGCCTGGTCTACAGAGCAAGTTCCAGGACAGGCTTCAAAGCTACACTGAGAAACCTTGTCTCAAAAAAAACAAAACAAAACAAAACAAAACAAAACAATAATATCTACAACAACAAAAAAGAAAAATTTAATTGTATTCCATTTTAATTGTTTTATATTTATTTATGAAAAAATATTTATCTATTTGCAGTTCTGGGGATGACCCCTCAAACCCAGGGCTCACCCATGCTAGGCATCTTCCCAGCTGCCACCAGCTCCTTGCTTTACATTTAGTGTGTCTCTGTGTGTGTGTGTGTGTGTGTGTGTGTGTGTATGTGTGTGTGTGTGTGTACCACATGCAGGCATACACACAGGTGTATTTGTGCCTGTCAAGGCCAGAAGTCAACTTCAAATGTGATCCCTTGGGCACTGCCCACCTTGATTTGTAAGATAGGGTTTTTCTTCGGTCTGGAGTTCTCCTGTTGAGATAAGTTGGGGAGGCCCAGGCACCATCATAATCATCATTATTTGGTTTTTCAAGACAGGGTTTCTCTGTGTAACAGCTGTGGCTGTCCTAGAACTCATTTTGTAGACGAGGCTGGCCTTGAACTCACAGAGATCCTCCACAGCCTTTTCATTTTAATGTGGGTTTTGGAGCTTGGACTCCAGCCTTTATGCTTGCACAGTAAGCACTTTACAGACAGGATTATGCTGTGTAGTTCACACATTGCAGCCCTCATAACTTTCTCTTGCCTCAGCACAGGCCACACTGGCCTCTTTACTTTCAAACAGCTATCTTGTCACCCTATTCGCCACACAAGGTCTGAGGCAGGAATTACACTGGTTTGTGTGAGGTGTGGATGGGGACCCAGTATGGAATCCATCCATCCATCCATCCATGCGGTTCTTTCTTCCTGTAGTTCAGGACCTTGAGTTCTGAGATCACCTCTGTTGAAGACTGCACTCACCTCAACCCACCGCCCGGGGCTGTCGGTCCACTCCGTCCACACACACTCTTGTACATTTTCTTGGGAAAATCGTGTGGGGACTCTGCCCTGGTACAACCTACTGAGGCACTCGGTTCCTTTATTTTTGTAGCAAGCAAGGAGGTTCTGCATTTGCAATTCCATTTCATAGATGAGGAAACTGAGACTCAAGGAGGCTCGGGCAGACCGCACGAACGAAGCAGGATAAACTCTTGGAGGGCTCTGAGGCCAGCAAAGGCACTTCCGTGGGTCGGGTTGTCAGGGTGGCGGGGAAAGCTGCGGGTAAATATTTGGGGCAGTAACCTGGGCTCTGGCGACACCAGTCGTCACTGCGGTTCTCAGTCGGCGGGCACGTGGCGAGGGCGGTGCCGGGGTAGGGGTGGGGGTGGGGGACAGGGGCGTCCCCTAAGTCGTCTGGAACAGACTCCGCTGCCCCGCCCCGCCCCGCCCCCGCCGGTGGCTATAAGACGGTGCAGCTGGCGGGTGGAGGCGCTAGCCAGGAGCGAGCGCTCAGCAAGGAGCAAGGCAGGGTCACCCGCGCGGACTGCAGTGCAAAGCGACAGTCACCAGGGCCAGCACCTCGCAGCATCTCTGCCACGCACGTCGGCGAGCAACCTCTCCATGAAGCCGCCCTCAACTCAGGGCAGCCCTGCGGCGGCCGCGGCCGCAGGTGAGTGCCGGGTTAGGGGTGCCCCCTCCACCTCTGTGCCCCGCGACCAAAGTTAGGGACTCCGTCCACCCTAAGCTAGACCCCGAGTCCTGGGACCCCTGAGAGCCCGAGCCCGCAGGTAGGGGCGAGAGACCAGGGGTCGCGATGGACCCTTTCACTGTTCACCCTTCCGTCCTCCATCACTCCAGCGCCCCATGCCCGAGTCGCACGGTCCCACGCGGGACCAAGGATCTGAGCCTGACACGTAACGGGTGCTCGCTGACTCAGACTTCCCGGGAGTGAGCGTGGGCACCACTAGGAAAGCGCGTGGGGTGGGCTAGGTGACTTCCAGGCTTTCAGCTCCACCCACGGAGGCTGCTGCTCCTCTGTGTCTGGCGACAGGCGCTTTGGAGGGTGGTTAAGAGGTTGCAAGGTAACTGCGCGGCTGTCACTGGCAAACGCAAAGTTAGCCATCCTAGTCCGGGGACCGACCGCCTCTCCAGATCCCCCGCGGCAGGGTAAGAGTCACCCCCACCCACGCTTCCATCAACTGAGCGCGCTGTGCCCACCCCCAGTCCCGGCCATGGACTCAGCGGCTGCTGCAGACCTGACGGACGTGCTGTGCGAGTTCGACGCTGTGCTGGCCGATTTTGCATCGCCCTTCCATGCCCGCCACTTCCACTATGAGGAGCACCTGGAACGCATGAAGCGGCGCAGTAGCGCCAGCGTCAGTGACAGCAGCGGCTTCAGCGACTCCGAGAGTAAGTGAGACCCTGTTGAAGTCAGTGACCCCAGGGCTCAGGCTTCCTAGGGCTCTAGGTTAGCTGGGTTATCTGTAAACTGAGGCTCGATATTCAGGAAACTCAGACCCGAGGCCCTGCTCTGAGAAGCCTGGAGAGTTGACTTTCTGAGATTTAAGCCCAGGTGTGGGGGTAGGGGATGCTGCAATCATTCTGGGACTCTTGAAGGACTGTGAGTCTGCCTGTCATGGCAGGTGTCTGTCATGAGGCCTGAGGGTTTGTGCAGTCATCAAGAACTCCTGGGTCCCCAGCCAGGTCTTCCAACAGTTTCCCAGCTTTTCTCCCCGCTCTTCACTTTTTTATGTTATTTTTATTTTATTGAGACCCTCCGAAGGAGACCTATACAGCCGAGGATGATCTTGAACTCTTTCCTTAGGCTTCACGGTGCTGGGATCACAGAGGAGTGCCGGCATGTCCAGTGTAGGCCATCCTGGGGGCTTCTTGTACTCTAGGTCAACCCTAAACCAACAGTACCCTCCCTTTCCTTTTCCAGAATGGGTGTTGGGGGACTTGGGGAAAGGGCAAGCACAATAATGAAACATTTGTGAAACCAAAATGATTTCATAAGCTGCTGTTTTTGGAATTTTTGAAATAACTTCAGTCACTTTCTTCTGAGCGCCCAGGCTCTTTCGCCACTCCAGGCGATTTTAAACAATCCTCCCCCCCCCTCCACACACACACACTGCTGAGTTCAAGTACTGGGTTTCATGCAGGCTCCCCCTCCCCCCAGGTTGCCTGTAGAGGTTCATCCTGGCAACCTTTTCCAGGATGCCAGTATCCTAACAACCTCAGTAGAAAGCAAGCAAAGTGTGTGCGTGTGTGTGTGTATGTGTGTGTGTGTGTGGGGGGGGGTGTCAATAATAACTCAAATGACCTGCAAGATTCTGGATATCTATTTAGGTGTCCAACAGTGAATTTGTTTTCAAATCCTGGCTTACTCAATGTTTTTTGATGTGAATTTTAAGTTGTTTGTTTGTAAGCACTTACTCCCTAGATAGGCTGCAGGCACAGACATCACCCACTGATCCTGGGAGTAAAAGGCATGTTGCTGTTGTGAAATCTAGAGAGTTCTTCCTTTTGAAGATTCTGTGTGAGAACTGCACCTGAGCTGTCCTCCTGGGAAGGGACAATGGCTGACATCCTGGTCAGGGTTTGAGTCAGAAACTTGAGCTCTAGTTTCATCTCCCATAGCAGCCTGCACAGATAACTGCTAGGAGGTGAAGGGGGATGGAAGAGGGTGGGTGAGCTGTTCTGTTCCATTTACAACTTTTGCATTTTGATGCTAATGACCTCATTCCTTATTTTCAGCATTCCAAGTGAAGCCTTGCATTGGAAATTTGTCTCAATAAATACCTGTGGCATAACTTGAGTATATCTCCCACCATTGGGTTGATGGACAAGTTATGTATATAATTTCTCTTCTTGGCAAAACACAAGGCTGAATCTGTCACTGCTGCTCTGTGGCAAGGACAGCTTGTTGCTACACCAGAGCCTCCTGCTGGATTAGGGTCTGACAGTGCAGTTGTGGCAGACAGCACCCACAGGTTCTGCCAGGAGAGATTTCTGATCTAGGATGTGTTTTTAGGTGTCTTAGGAAGAGAATGTGCTAGAGAGTTTCTTAGCAGTTTGGGGACAGTTGAAAGAATTTGTTAATTTTGTTAGGGTATATCTGTGCATATTTCACTTTCTGCTTTCATTGTTAACCTTAAGCTTTTAGTGTGGTTGTTGGAGAAGTAATGGGAAACACCTAAGACTCTGGTCTTTGCTGTCGGTGTGGTTTGTTCTCTGAATGATTGCTCAGAAATAGTCTTGGTGAGATGCGTGTGTATCTAAATAATGCTTTCTCAGACAAAGAATACCTATGTCTTAATTGTCTCCAGGAATGGAGCACAGACATTTGTTAGTCTGTTTGGAGGAGGAGAATGTCTGGGAGAGGTGCAGCCCACTGAAACTTAACTCTCTCCAGAGAGGGCCACCCAGGTTTATAATGATGGCAGCGGCAGCTAGCTTACTTTTTTTACCAAGCCCTCGCTAGGGTTGCTATAATCAAAATTTGTTTGCTCTTATTATCAGTTATCTCTTGCTGTTCTTTGAATGTTATCACACATAATCCTTGCCACAATCTTACAGGTTAGGCACTTTAATCTTCATTAATTTCTTTGATAAAATAACAGACCACAGGCTGGCCATCTACGGCCTTGCTCTGTCATCACAGATGGTTGCTTAGAATGTGAGCCAGAGCTTGGGAGTATCCTGGTGCTCTACTGTGCTCAGATCATGCATCTTTATTTAGGCATTGCATATTCTTTCCAAGGCTTTCTGGGTCGAGCGTCAATGAGCATAGGTGATGATATTCCTAGCTTTTGAAAAATATCTTTTCTTTTTTCTCCTTAAAAAGTTTGGCTGAGTTCAAGGTCAGCTGGTCTACAGAGTGAGTTCCAGGACACGCTTCAAAGCTACATAGAGAAACTCTGAACAAACAAACAAAAATTAAGTTGTGGGACTAGAGAGATGGTGTAGGGGTTAAAAATAGGTACTGCTTTTTAAGAGGACCAGGCTTCAGTTCCCTAGCATCCATGTTGGACAGCTCATAACTGTCAGGAACACCAGTTCCAGGGATCTGACACCTTTGGCCTCCATGCGGACGCACATAAAAGCACACGCACATGCACACACACAAACATTCACATCGGCAATACGGGAAAATGGCTTTTAAAAAGGGGTGTGTCTTTCCCATAGCACTTTATTAGGAACAATTTTAACTGTCTCAATAAAAGGGCAAGGCAGTTGGGAGCTAGGAAAGTGTTTTTTAGGCTTTACCCTTTGAGGTGATATAGAAATTGAACATCTTTGGTTGTTTTTTTGTTTTGTTTTTAGAAATATGTGTGTGTGTGTGTGTGTGTGTGTGTGTGTGTGTGTGTATATACATATATATATATGTATATATATATATATATTTACTTAAGATAGGATCTTACTATGTACCCTTGGTTGCCCTAGAACTCACCATGTAGACCAGGCTGGCTTCAGACTCCCAGAGATCCTCTTGCTCCTGCCTCCCAAGTTCCGGGATTAAAGGTGTGCACCATTATGCCCAGCTCTTTTTCAGTAATTTTGTTTTTTTTTTTTAAGTTTGAAAGTATAGTGTGAGTCTTTAAGTGGGGGGTTTAATAAAATTTTTACTCATTATATCCTGAATTTTAAACTGCGTGATAATGTATGCTTCTACTGGTTGACTTTATAAACAGTTTATTATATTGACTTAAAAGATGGGACTGAGTATGATTCTTGTAAGGTTTAATAAATGTTTATCTTTTGAGAGGGGAAGTGTTCGGCTATTTAATAGGAAAGATCTGCGGTCTACTCTGCATGCAGTAGATATGATGATGATGACATAGATATTTGCAGAGAATAAGGAACTGGGTTCTTTAGCCCAGCAAGACTTAGAACCTCCAAATATGTTTGCTTGTATTCTGGCCTGGCCCTGAGAGAGAGAGGACTTTAGGGACTCTAGAAATTAGAGTGACAGTTACCAAACCAGTGGTTAATTGAGCTGAGGAGCCAGGAGCTTGATCTTGTCAAGATGTGAGAGGCTGAGGCCAGGTAGGCACCCTCCAGATGCCTGGTACCATGTTAGGGGCCAAGTGAGTGGCAGCTCTTACCTGCCCCCAAAACCTGGCAAACTACTCCAGGGGAGAGCTGGGGCACCATGATCTGAGAACCAGGACATTTTCCCACTGTGTCATGCTTCATTGGAGCTGCCAGACTTGAGATTTGGAGTAGAAGAGAGGCCCTCATCCCTTCTATTCCCCATGGGAACAGTGACACAGGCCAAGGACTTTCTTTTTCTTGGTAATTACTTTAGTTTGCTTGCTACAGATGCGTGGGATAGTTCTATATTTATGGGCATTCTGGGCAAGGCTCACTGTCTGTGGTTTTTCTTCTCTCTGGAATAGCACATGTCAGTTCTAACCCTAAATTGCCTTTCTCCCAACCCCCCAAATTATGAAAATACATACATACATATATGCATGCATGCATGCATACCATACACGCATGCATACATATGCCTTTCTTTTAAACAAAGCTATGGAATTATGTTGGGCACACCTAAATTTAGGGGGTTGTGTATGTAATATGCTTTTCTTTTGATGGTTCCTTAGGACCCTCAGTCTCAGATCTGAGACTTGAATGTGTGAAATGGATTGGGAATTTGAAGGACATTTGTAGTAGGGATTTGATGCTAGTAAGGTGGGGCTTCAAGGCAGTCTGAAGTAGATATCTCTTTTACTACCTATGAAGGTACCCCAAGTCATCATTGCTCAGTCCCTTGATCATAGCAATTAATAACAATACCAGATAGCAGGGTGGGGTGGCAGTACATCTATGTGCTATCAGCTAGAGACACGCTGCTGGCATTTTATCAGACTGGCTGAATATTAATTACTTTTGCAAGAATTAGAGTTCCAAGGGGGTGACCAGATCAGGAGTTTGAACCTCGCTTACTTAGTCGTCTACCACAGCCTCTAGCATGAGATTCCCTTCAGACAACCTCTTAATAAAAGCCTGTGTGGGGGGGTACTGGGTAAAGAAGTTTAGGGTTTGCGTATCTCTGTGCTGTGGTCTCTTCTGAAGGGAAACTTTAAAATTTGTTACAATCTGAAAACAGCGGGAAGCCAGGGTTTGGAATCTTGGGGTTTTTTTTTTGTTTTGTTTTGTTTTTTTTTTTTTTTTTTTGCTTTGTTTTGTTTTCTCAATGATAATGCCCTTCTTTCTGTACATGCTGTTCTCCATTTTGCTAGGAACCTGGAAATCAAACCAGTATGAAGCCACAGGCATCATACACAGTGCCTAGGTTGTTACTGCCTTTCAAGTGGCCTCTGCTCCTCACCTTCTCAGCGGCATAGCTTCAAGGACTTGGGACTTGGGTTTGCTCTTTTTGTCCTCTGCCCCTCATTAATTACCATGTGTAAACTGTTGCCACTGGTGGATCTAGATAGGGCAACTTGGTCAAAGATCCTGGGAGTTCATTATTTCTTCACAGCTGAAGGTCAAGCACACTAGAGTCTGGAGGTGGTCCAAGGTATTCGGAGAGGGTAGAACCATGGCGTGTCATTGAGATGACAGGGTGTGTGTGTGTGTGTGTGTGTGTGTGTGTGTGTGTGTGTGTCTGTCTGTGTCTGTGTGGTGCAGGGACGTGAACACAGGCTATGTTGCCCAGCCTCTGTATGTACATAGATGCTGTATTTTATCCCCTCTCCCTCCCTCATTGGGAGAGCAGTCTGAGTTCATTAGCAATGAGGCAACTACAGACCAAACAGTCTGGCTTACAACTGAGTTTATTTGTCCTGTAAAAATCAGACTCTGCCTATATTTTCTGACCTTGAGAAAGTCCATAGGTTAAGGGATTTTTCATATGGACTAGATTTTGAAGGATCAAAGGCAAGCCAGAATGGTCCCCTGAGACTATGGCCTTTTCTTCATGGCCTCTCTCTCCACAATATCTGGATTGAGATCTCTCTTACTCCTCTTTGGTTTTCTTTTCTCCCCGTCATTCTCTTCTGCAATGGCCTTTCCCATGTTGAGCTACTGCTTCTGTAAACAGCCAATAGTAGCTGGCTCAATTGCTTGGAAGGTGAACCAAGCTGCTGTGCCCCAATCCCTAATCCTGAAGCCTAATTATAATATGGGTATAAAATTTGTGGGGAGTTGGAGCAGAACGGAGATGAAGTTCAAAGCCAGGGGAAAGGACCGCGGTGTATGCAGGGTGGGGTGGAATGAGGCGTGGTATTGAAAGTGGCTTTCTAGTGCCAGCTGTTCTGAGAGATAGAGAGCAGGGAGAGGGTGGCATTTAAGCTCTGGACTAGTGAGTCTCAGAGCTGGGACTCTGGTCCAAGGATGGGACAATGTTCCTGGATCTCTTTCAGAGGCAAGGATGTTGTGACAGGGGTTTGGTGTTGTCGCCTTCTGGCTCATAGCTTGCTACCCTGAGCTGCTGGGTGGTTTATTTCCTCCAAAGATGACTCTGTCTTCTCCTCAGATGTGTCTTTGTATTAGTGGTGGCTCCCTGGTTATTAGCGGTAAAGTGCTGCTCCTCCAGGGATGTGAGGGTACCTTCCTGTGTGCAGGGGACTGCTACTGCTGCTGCTGTTCTTACAGGCGTAAACAGCTGGGGAAAAGAAAAAACAAGCAGAAAGGCTTCCAACTCAACTTCTAGAGAGTTCCGGGTTTCTAAGAGATATTAATAGGAGGGCCATGAAGTGTCCCATTGTCAAGTATACTTGGGAAGAGGGCTAGGGCAGTGGTAGTGGGAGTCATCAACAGTGGTCTTGGTGTTGCCAGAGCATAGTTGGTCCCACATGTCAAGGACACATGTCAAGGACCTGCATCCTAGAGGTGCGGGTTGGCTATGTTTTTGGATAGGGAGTACGGCTTTAAGGTTCAGTGTTGAGGACCTCAGTATGGGTTAATCATCAAAGCCCTGAAAAAAATGACTGTGGCCCTTTAAGGGACCTGGGCTAGAAATCTTTGAAGGAAAGAAAGATCTCGAGGATGGTTCATGAGGTTCTGCTTGTGCATGTTTGGAGAAGTGGACTCAGAGGGCAGAGGACACAGAGCCAGACAAGACAACCTGAGGAGGTGTGGCAGCCATTTAGGGATATGCCCAACTCTCAAGTGACTAGAAACTTCTTTCAGAACCCCAATTTCCTTTTATCCTGAGCACATTAACAAAATAATTTAAGGAACTAAAGCAAGATGTGTTGCCTCTCCCTAAGCCAGAGAGAAATGGCTTGAAGGACAGGAGCTTCGGGGGTTGGGGGGGGGGGACTGGGACCTGGCCAGGCCCTCGTTACTGAGCAGCTCAACCTGAACAGCCTTCTCAGAGTTCCTGCTGCACGCTGAGTGGCTTTGTTTTCCGTTTTTAGCCAGAAAAGCGGCTTCCTCCCTGGCCATCACCTCCGAGACCACATCCTGCTTCCGTTAATCTCCTGTCTTTTGAGCCTCTGCTACCTCCTCAGAGCAGGGCTGGCTTCCTCCTCTTCATTGGGATTTAGAATCTCAGAACTTGGAGGGACTAAAAGATTGTCTAATTTACCTTTCATCTTATTGATGGGTAAACTAAGGCCCAGAATATGACCTTTTCAAGCACCCCGAAGCAGGCAGTAGCTGATCTGCTCTTGGCCCTGTGCAGCCCAGCCTGGCTGGAACTTTGCCTGGTGCTGCGGCTGTGGCTGCTGCTGCTGCTTTGACATTTGGGGCATAAGAACAGAAGGAACTGTGAAGTCCCTTGACTGTGACAGATGAACAGCCAAGAACAAAAACAATCTTTGTTCTTGACTTTAGTTTGTCAGAGAGAAGAGTGCAGAATCTTGGGGAACTGTGTGATCAGACTCACGAGCAATGAGAGGAATTATTAGATGTGGGGCCTAACATTGTGCTTACATTTGAAAGATGTTTGGAAGAAAGGGAACACTTTTCATGAAAAATGATAATTGCATTGTGCCTGGTACCCAAGGAAGCCAGAGAAGGGCATTAGATCCCTAGAATTATAGCTGCAGATTGTTTTAAATTGCTAGGTGGGTGCTGGGAATCGAACTCACATCCTCTGGAAAAAGCAGCTAGCTCTTTAATTGATGAGACAGCTCTTTAGTACCTGCCTATCCCATCCTGCCCCCACCCCTTTTTTCTCTTTTGGAGTCTCACGTATTTACTCAGTATGTAGCTGAGGATGACCCTGAGTTTCTGATCCTCTTGTTTCTACCTCCAGAGTACTGGGTTCACTGGTATACCACTGACCTGTGTGCCACTGATACAGTGCTCGGGTCTCGGTGAGGCTCCTTTTCTCTGCCTGCAGGGGAGGGGGAATAGCTTGACTGCAACAGAGGCAGCAGAGAAGTCTCAAACACTGCAAACAGGAGCATACAGAATGAGCAGTTGAAAACATGTAGAGACACACACATGAAGCAGACACACAGAGAAAAAGACCCTTTGTCAAGCAGAGGCCAAAAAAAGTCCAGTGTCTTGGGGGGGGTGGTAGGTGATTTGTTGTGGTTATCATTGTTTGTTTAAGACTGCAGAGTTTTCCTCCCCTATTTAGGGTTGGTCAGTTTGAAGAAAGATAGGATGGCTGATTGACCCACAACAGTTATGTAACAAGTCGTTGATCCTGTCCATCCTGCTGGTGGGAGACAAAAGCCTATAAGGTCTTTGTTTTAAGCTGCCAGGATTTTGTCTAAGTCAGGAGGCTGCGGAAGTTCACCTTTATTATCTAACCATGGCCCACTGCCTGTCTGTCTGCCTGCTGGGGAGTGTGTCCAACTCCTAGTCTTTCACCACCGTGTCTAATTTATGTGGTGCTGGGAGTGAACACAGGATTTCATGCCTTCTGGACAGGCACTCTACCAATTAAGCCACACCATATTCGAAGTCTCATCCCATCAGCTATGGCCTGGCTTGATAGATGGCCGGTAGACTTCCTGGGTAGCAGACCATTTTGGTCCTATTAACCCATCACACTGTTTTAGAGGTTGCCAGTGTACTTGACTGGATACACGCAATCACAAGTACAGGATGCACACAAGCACATGTACAGAATGCACACAATCATACGGATGGACATACATACACCCCCCTGCCTTAGATCATTTCCTATTTTCTTTAATGTAACATCTGCAACATCTGGTTCTTGGGAGTTAACTGCTCAGTACTGTGGACATAGACTGGCAAGTGTCTGGTTTAATGGGTACACCTAATGAGTATGGCCTTCTTTATGGTTTAGTGAGAACACCTCCTAATGAGTATGGCCTCCTTTATGGTTTAGTGAGAATACCTCCTAATGAGTATGGCCTTCTTCCTTATGGTTTAGTGAGAACACCTCCTAATGAGTATGGCCTTCTTCCTTATGGTTTAGTGAGAACACCTAATGAATTTGGCCTCCTTCCTTGAAGGTGCAGACTCGCTATACAGGGACAGCTTCAGCTTCAGTGATGAGAAACTGAATTCTCCAACAGACTCCACTCCAGCTCGGCTCACTTCCACTGTTACTCCTCGGAAAGGTGAGCTCACTAACTGGGCACCGCCCCCCCACCCCACCCCCTTCTGTTTATCCTTAACCAGGCTAGATAAGATGAACGGTTTCTGGGGGACAGCGTGAATTGTTTCCTGGGATTTTGGCCATATGGAGACTCTGTCTATGGCAGAAGGGAGTGCTCCCCATTTCCCTCCTGAGCCATAATTACATAATTACATTCATAATGTAAAACTCAGCAGTTTGGCTTCGCAGCAATGAGAAGATTCTTTTCTTTTTAATTTCATTAGCTGTTTACCCCAGTGCTTTTTGGTGACCAGCTTAGCAGCTGTCATGATGAGACAAGAATGATCTAACATGGGGCCATTGAGACGGCTCAATGGGTAAGGGTGCTTGCTGCCAAGTCGGACAAGCTGAGTTTGATCATCCCTGGAACCTACTTGGTAGACGTCCTCTGATCTCTAACATGGGCACATGTATTCATACATACACACATACATACATACATACATACATACATACATATACACACACACACCGAATGAATGAATGAATAAATATGTTTTTTTAAAAAACAAAATGGATACGATCCAAAACACCAGCTCCACCCTGTCTCTGCTTCGACATTAATAGATGAAAGAGGGTTAAAAGAGGCATGAATGGGTTCTCAGTTTTTGGAATTGGCCATGTCTCACCAGCTAGAGAGATGGCCATTCTGTTAAACTGGAAAGCAGTTCTTTTGAGAACAAAAGGAGGTCCCCCCCTCTAAGGAAAACTCAACTTGCTGAACATAGTTGCAAAATGTAATAAAAATGGAACCAACTTGAAAAGAAATATGAGATCCCCTCATTTGTCTTCATCTGGCAATCAAACAGAACTTCCTTTTCTTGAAGGAGATATTTTTAAGTTCTCTCCTCAACACAAATGTTAGCAGCCACAGGGGATTCGGCCATTGTGCAGCCTCCAATCTGTAATGCATCTGTGAACTCCAGGGATAGAACAGTCCAGAGAATGGCTTAAATAGTGCCCAGCTCTGCTACCTAATCCTCCTGAGGTGGGAATTACAGAAGGGGGTGGGGGGGGAGGCACCGTGGCAAGTGGACCTGAGAGCGAAGAACAATGAACCATTTGTAGCCAGCAAAGAAAAATATTCATGGATGCATTTCAAGGAAGGCATGAATGACAAACTACAAAGAAAGTCAACTACGTAAGGAAAGCGTATACCTCTGGCTGCAGAGACTACAGTGTCTGTATGAAAGCTCTGTGCTACTCTGGGACAGGCTGTCATGTTCCCTGTCCCAGTCGACACAAAACAGTAATTTTACACTCGTGTCACACTGGAGGGCCACTGGATTGTTCTCTGGCAGCAGTGTAAGCATGTGACTTGTCCTCTTCCCCTCACTGTCTCCCAGACTAAGACTGTGAAAAGATCCATCTTCTAGGGTGGGAAGGTGGGTAGGATGGTGGCTTAGGGTGGCAGTGAACCACCAGACAAATGCAGAGGGCAGTTGCTGAAGACACTAAGGATTGGAGCAGGGCATGATCCGTGAGGTCTCTGAGGGCCACAGGACAGCTTTCCATAATCTGAAAGCTATAATCCCTGAAAAAAATCCTCCACCCACTGTGTCTGAGAGGGGAACTGAACTTTTTTCTTTTGTAGCCAAATTAGGTGACACGAAAGAGTTGGAAGACTTCATTGCCGATCTTGACAGAACATTAGCAAGTGAGTACATGCTTAGTGTGTAAAACATTACTTGGAATACCGAACCACACCTTTGATACTGTGCTGTGATGTTTCCCAGCTCACCTGGGGTGGGGCGGGAAGTTACACCATAAGCTGCTCTAGGTGTAGAAACAGGATCTCAGTAGCTCAGAAAGCAGCTTGGAGGATAAGTTTATGGGACAGTAGCCTGAGTTGCTTTCCCAACTGTGCAAACATGTCAGCAGCAGACAATGGCATGTTGTTTAGGAAATGGAGAGAGAACTTTGCTGTGGGAATGGCTTTCCAGTTCTGAGAGAAGGAACGAGCTGATTGGTCACACACACATCCCTCCAGCAAGCCAGCCAGAGGGGTCTGGCCCCTCAGAGTGATTCCCCAGGTTTGATGCAAGGGCCTGGTGAGACTTACAAAGATTTAAGTGTCAAAGAGAAGTGTCTGGGATACTCAAGCTAGCTCCCCAGTGACCCAGATTCAGTGGGCAGATATGTGCTTCTAATTTGGGATTACACTATTGGTTATCCATTCTGTGTGGCCCCAAACTGAAGACATCAGGTCAAAATTGCAACACTTTTGGGGTTAGTGGCCGGGGTGGGGTGGGATTGGAGAAAAGAACTGTCACACTCTTATCTGTGGGCTCTTCTTCAAAAGGACAAGATTGCAGGAGGCAGGGACCCCAGTTCCAGCTTGTGGGGTTGTTGGCCTCAGTATCTCTTCTTACAGGGACTTGCCAAGCCTTGGAGAATTTTTCTTCTGGCTTCTTAATTATTTTGTGAAGGTGATCATTTTTCTGTAAGAAGTACTGTGTTTTTACTCTGCCAAATAGGTAAAATCTAAAAATTTAGATAAAGTTTCAACAGTCTACTTAAAATAGCCAGGGTTTTAACGCTCTCTCACTCTGTATTTGCTTGATGGTATTATTGCCCCCTTTTCTGTCATGTTGTAAGATCCTAGAGTACTCTAATTGCAGCCCAATTTGTATTAGGCCCATGGCACAAGCCTGTCTACTTTATGCAAATTGCAGCTGGCCTCCTCATTCCAGTTAGCCAGACATACTGCACGGGAAGCCTGCCATTAACTTTGCTTTTGATGCTGGTCTGAGACCATGTGATGTGGTTAAGCTTAGGGATTATGAGCGGCTGGCAGGGCTAACTAACCCTATCTCTCCTTTCCAGGTATGTGAAGCAAGGAGTTCGGGGTCCTTAGGCCACAAGAGTGAAACTCACGAAGGCTCTAAGCCCCCTGGATCTGATGCAGGAGGGGACAAAGCTGAGGCTCACCCTAACATCTGTTGGGCCCGTCTCTGGGCAACTCAGACAGTAAAACTGACTTTGTTCGCCTGTAGTGTATTTTTAGCAGATGATCTATCTAATGTGTTTCTACTCCTTAAACATAGCTCTTCTATAATTTAAGATGGTTTATGGAAATATTTGTAATTACTTATATATAGTCAGAGACCGTAATAAGCTTTTCCCATCATAATATATTTTTGTATACAAATAAAATTTAAACTGGAATCTGTACTTTGAAAGCTGTCTTACTGCTATCAATGTATTTCCATTCAGTAGTTTTCTAGCAGGAATGGCAGGCCTCTGGACTCCTAGTGAGAACACCACATGTCATGATTATACTCACTTGAGGCTGGCCAGCTCCCTGGAGCTTTCCCTGAACTCTAATCCTTAAAACTTTTCTAATCTCAAACCTTTTTCTTTGTGGGGCTGGAGAGATGCCCCAGTGGTTAGGAGCAACAGCTACTCTTCCAGGATTTGGCTTCAATGCCCAGCACCCGTGCGGCATTCACACCTGTCAAACTCCAGTGCTGCGGGATCTGACGCCCTCTTTTGGTCTCCTGTGGCACTGTATGCGTTTGGTGCAAACATACATTCAGGCAAACATTCATATGTATGAAATAAAAATAAAGTTTAAAAAAGGTTTCTCCTTGGGGCTGGAGACGGAGGCTCAGTAGTTGAGAGCACCGATTGCTTTCCTAGAGGACCCAGGGTGAATTCTCAGCACCCTTAACATTGCTTACTACTATCTTTAACTAGTTCCAGGGGGTCTAATGCCGCCCTCTGACTTCCTCAGGCACCAGACACACACCTGGTACTCAGACATACATGCAGGAAAAGCACTCATACACATAAAATAAAAATGAATATATCTTAAAGTCTTAATTAAAAGAAATTTAAATTAATTGGACTTCATTTTTTCTTTGTTTGGTAGTTTCACACATTTATAGAACGAATTTTAGTTGTTTTGACACTCCCCGATTCACCAATCTCTTCCTCTGCTGCTTGGGCCCTCTCAGCAAGTCTCTTACATCACACGGCTGCTTCTTCTGTGTGGGCCAGAGTTGGATTAGACTTTGTTGCCTGAGCATGGGGTGGGCGGTTGATTTTTCCAGAGGGAGGGCAACTTCTCAGTGGCTACACCGCTGAGGAAAATGAAAAGCACAAAACAGTTCACCAGCCTCTGTGTTACACTCTTCCAGGGCACGTGCTGAGCTCTGTCTGGCCAGTCTTGGCATGCGTGCTGCTGACGTCCCTACCTTCCCAAAGGACATGTCCCTCAAACACAGGCGTGCTGGTTGGTTTTGTAAACTTGAGTTACCTTAGAGAGGGATTGCTGCTATCAGATTGGCCATTGGGCTCACCTTTGGGAGTTCCCATCGTGGGCAGAAACACCACCGAGCAGGTGTGTGGAGGTCTGAACACATCTATGTAAGGTAGTTCTCTCTCCGCCTTTGCATGGTCTCCAGGGATTGAACTCAAATCACCAGGCCTGTGCACCAAGCGCCTGTCCTAGCTGAACTATCTCACTGGCCCCTCTTTTTAAAAAAGACAGATATGATTCACATGCTGAAACTTGAGTTTTGTGGCTTTTAGCATACCCACAGATATTATAGACATCATCGCTGTTAATTGTCTGTATGGCTCTTGCCTATTCTAGACACATTAAATGAAATGACACACTGTGGTCTTCTGTTACTTAGCATGTTTTCAAGGTTAATCCATATAACATATCTTTTAATAGCAAAATAATATCCACCATGTGGATATGTCATATCCTGTTTATATAACCATTAGCTAGTTAATGAATGGCATTTGGCTTTCTACTTTGGAGTTGATGAGTAACACTCTCGTTAGAACCCATGTGCAAGCTGGGCGTTGCTGGCTTACGCCTTCAATCCCAGCACGAGTGAGGCAGAAGGAGGCAGATCTCTTCTGAGTTCAAGGCCAGCTTGGTCTACAGAGCAAATTCCAGAATAGTCTCCAAGGCTACAGTGAAACCCTGTCTCAAAAAACAAAACAAAATTAGCACCTGTGTGCAAGTCTTTGTGTGAGTGTCTGTTTTAATTTCTCTTGGGTGTGTAAGGACTTTTGAATGTCATGAAAGAGCCATGACTGTGTCGTGTCACATTCCCAGCTCAGGAGGCCTCCCACTTCTCCAGGTCCTCACTGTAAAGAGTGGTCCCCGGGGTGTGGAGTATGGTCTTACTGTAGCTTACCTTGCAGTTCCTGTGCAACAAATGAACCCTTTCTAATGTACTTCCTGGTGTCTGCTTTTGGTGTTGAGCTGTAGGAAACCATGAATTCTGGATACAGGTTCCTTATCAGATATGTGATTTGAAAAGTAGTCTCTCTTCTCTGGACTTGCTGTACCGGACTGTCCTCAAAGCCAAACTGTCAGCATCTTTAGGAGCTCAGCTGGCCATGCTTACAAAAGATCCTCACAGATGGGCAATGCTGATTTTTTAACCTTGCCCCCTAGAAAGGGGGCAGAGAGGATCATGGGACCTTCCTGGAATCCAGCCACCCCTCCCAACCAGCTGGAGCAATTCTGCCCTAATTGCAGACGACCTTAGGGTATTGGGGGAAGGGCTAGAGGCTATGAGTGCAGGAGGGTGAAGGGAGGGGCCTTCATCTACCTAGCCAGGGGGAAGCTATCGTCGATACTGATGCTGGGCACAGAACAGTGCAGCTGCGTTAAGGTCGCACACCTCCTTCCCATCACCTCCCACCCATTGCTCTGTAAGTACGCCCAATAAACTCAGTGGTTATCCCTGATAAACTGTGGTAGAACGGGTTGAATTGCACCAAATTGTGTTGTTGGGACCTTAAGAGGAAGGGTAGACCTTGTTTACACCTTTTAGGAAAAGTTTATTTTCTGTCCTTGAAGCGTGAAAGTCTTAATTTTGTTGAAATCCAGTACTTTTCCCCTTCTGTTGCTTGTGGTAGTGGTGTTGTATAATCAACCCCTGTTCTTTCTTTTAATAATTTCATAGCTGAGCATCGTGGTTCCTAACTGTAATCCGAGCACTGGAACACTGAGGTACGATCATCCTGAGTTCAAGGCCATTCTAGGTTACATTGGTGAGTTCAAGGGCTACACAGTAAGATTTTGTCTCAAAAGAAAACAAAACAGAAATCAGGGGCCTTGAAAGAAATGTCAGTAAAGCTCTTGCCATGATGGTAATGGACTAACCTCTGAAACCATAAGCAATTAAATGTTTTATAAGAGTTGTCATGCTTATGATGTCCTTGCATAGCAATAGAATGGTAACAAAGACAATTAACAATAAATTTAATGAAAGATGCAAGGTTTATACCATAAAAACTTCAAGATATAACAGAGAAATTAAAGAGGCAAGCACTTGGCTTCTTTTCTAGATTTTGTCTTTTGCACAGATCTGGCTCTTGCTTGGTCATCCTAGTCTTTAGCTCCTTTGAATAAATCTTTTTTTCTTACAGGACGCCAGTGGCTCTTTGTTCTCTCCTTATGCTTTCATGCTGGAGTTGAGGAGCCACACTGTAGCTCTTTCTTTCTAGGCTTCTGGGACCTGTAGTTCCAAACTAGACAAGCAGGATGCAAGGCTTTGTGGCCTGGTATTAGTGACAAGCTTGAGGGAAAAAATGGGTTCTTTTCTGTGAGTGGGTAGGAGGGGTGGCTTATGTCTTATAGGCCTTGGTTGGATAATGACTTTGGGACAAGTGGCTTGAGTCACGGCTTGAGGTTCTGGGAATGTTGAGAAGTGTTTTCAGAGCTCCTTTAGATATGTTTCAAGGAGCAAGGTCCTTACCTAGTTTGAAAAATAGGTGTTATGTCACCTGGATCGGCGCCCACAGACACATTTCCGGGGTGTCATTCTAAGTTGTGTGATCAGAAATTAAGAGGTAGACAAGCTGGAGGTTTCTTTCTCACCAGCTTTCAGAAGGATGGCTTGGCCTCAAGTCCGCACATTTATCTGTCAGCCAGGGGGTAGGAGAGAAGGCTGGTGAAGCCCAGGTTCGTCCCTTTCCACAACAGGAGTTGAAGAGACACATCACCTCTGCTCAGGTGAAGTTCCTTGTTCAAGTCTTAGTCACGGGACCTGAGTGAGTTGACAGGATAGCCCTGGAAAACCACTTGATTGAGACCTGGAGAAGGTCAGTTAGCAGGCTTTTCTGGGACATAGCAAGACTGGAAACAATTGCGCAATATTAGTTTAAGACGTGCTGCACTTGTTTATGCTCTGAAACATTTGCTTAATCATGCAAAGATGTGTTGCATTCTTTGATGTTGCATCTCCTTAACTCTGTGAAGCTGTGTTACGTTGCCTGTCTAAAACACCTGATTGGTCTAATCAAGAGCTGAACAGCCAATAGCAAGGCAGGGGAAAGGATGGGTGAGGCTGCTGGGCAGTGAGAATAAATAGGAGGAGAAATCTGGGAAGAAGGAGCAAGGAGGAGCAAGAAAAGGAGAGGAGGGTGTCAGGGGCCAACCGCCCAGCCACCCAGCCAGCCACGGAGGAAGAAGCAAAGGAAGGTGCATATAGAGTGGAAAAAGATAAGGGCCCAAAGGCAACAGTAGAAGGGACAATTTAAGTTAAGAAAAGCTGACTAGCAACAAGCTAAGCTCTTGTGAGTGTTTATTTGGGAGTGGATAACCTCGCTCCCCCAACTCCCCCCCCCCCCCAGCAAAGAGTAAAGAGCCAAAAGAATAAGGAGTAAAAAGTAACCATCTACAGGATACTGTGCAGGCAATGCAGGTGTGTTGTTGAGTGCAAATACTGTGTTCTAATTTCTGAGAGGAATGGCCAAAGGGAAACAAAACAGAAAGCATGGCACACACCCACAAGTGAGATGAGTTAGTGCCCGCCCTGAACCAACCCAGCCTCTGGCATGGGGCGGAGGGACCCAGTACCTGTCTCTTCCCCAGGAGCTGTGACTGAGGGGGTCTGTGTGACATTTGCCTCAGGTGTGAAGGATCACGTCTGAGCTGAAGGGAGAAGATGCTGATGACTGACCACTGACAGTCATGGCTGGGATATGACAAACCCTCTCCGCGGACCTATCTCTGTATGTGGTGGAATGACGGATGGAGGGCTTTTGGAGCTAGGCCAGGTTAAGCTCTCGGCAGACTGTGTAGTGTCTGTGTGACTATGGACAAGGTGTTCTATGGCTGCAGAGAAGTGAGTCTTTGTTTCCTGAGGTCATGACCAAATTCGAATGGAGCCAATGAATTGTGTGCAGCACACTTCCTC